TCCTACCTGTCCGCGGTAAACCCCCCTCGCGGCACTCTCCGCCGCGTCGCCTCTCCGCGGAACGGCCCGAAACACACACATCCATGACGTCATCGTCCGGCTCCTATTTCGTTCAGGTGCCCAGCCGCGAGAAGTGGCGGGAAAGCCGAGCCCTCGCCAGATGTAGTGGTGGGGGAGTATTTCGGGTGGCCCACCCTACCGCGGCTTGGTGGATAGCTCGAGTTTGAGACCCCTGGATTAAATTATACATGAACGAAGAATGTTTCATGAGCTTACTTAAACAGTTGTCAATTTTTTATTTTTTTTTGCTTTAATGTTGCCCTTTTGAGGTGTTGGCTTCTTAGATTCTTTTTATGACCTCTCTAGATCGGGGACTAGGTAGCAGGATTTTTGATTCCTGTTGTGGTGTTGTCAGTTTTGAAGGTGTCACATTTCCAGACCCTTTAACAGGAGTTGTTGTTTCAGAGGACGAAGCATGCTTCTTAGGACTTTTTGAAGGAGCTTTCTTCTTTGTAGAATCACACAAAGGTGACATTAACTTCCTCTGATGTTTAGTACGGGTAGAGTTTGACTGAAGTGCGCCACATCCCATGTATTTGTAGACACAACGGCAGAGTCTTGGTCTCTAGTGCATGCTAAGTCGAAGTGACGGGAAGTTGACGGGCTGGAGGCCCATATCTTTGTGTACATTTTTGCACTACCCGACTCGGGTGTAAGCGCCGCAGGCCTAGGTAGATGTATGCCAGGCGCGTCGCAGCGTTACAGTGTTTCGTGAGATATCGCGAAACCTGTTACGCCAGACGTGGTCTGGCGTACATCTACCTAGTTATTCCTAACTCTCTTACTCCGAAACAAACTTTGCACCCTGTTATATGCGTCAAGCGATATACCACTTATTTCAAAGATGTCATGCGATGCATTTGTGGGGGAAACATTACACAGATATAGGTCTTTACTCCGCACTGCTCGTCTCATGTTCTCCAAAAAAATACCGTGTGAGCGGTCTGCAATGCCTCCGGTGACGCTCCAAGAACATGGAAGGGGCTGTCCAATCTCGCCCTGGCTGGGCCACTGTCTTCACTGCTCTGCAGGGGCATTTGCTTCGACCTGGACCGACCCTTCCTCGGTGTGTGTTCCTGGCATGTTCCCCTCCTCTTCTGTAGGGAGGTCGAGGAGGTCTGCTCCCCGGGGAGGGAGGGAGGGGAGGGGAACGCCTCCCCCAGGGAGGGGAGGTCCGAGGAGGCGGTTTTCCGTCGAGATGCCATAAATACTGTTTAATAAAATATTTTGACACATATTTTCGAATTTCATCAAGACTTTATGCTTAAATACGGCATTTCGTCAGCGGACTACTTTTTGCCGCTGTCGGCCAATCCCGGGCCGCATACAGGCACAACAAACAATCTCAAGTCGCAGGAGCGACGGAAAGTTTGTTGTGATTGTGGGGTTGTGAAGAAAAGACAACATCAACATACGAGGTTAACTATGTACTTAAACATTTATTCTTGGATAAATTCAGACTCAATCACAGTAAATGCGGACAATATTACAGTCTTGTCCTCCCAAAGGAGAGCGACCAAACGGTTTCAACAAGTGTGACCTAGACGAGTGTTAGAACTTTTTAATTTCATGCGTAAAGAGTAAACTGAGATAGATTTTTATACCGTTTCTCGGATTACTGATTTTTTTATTGTCTAACTAGTCAGTAAATATTGGTGGAACTGTCGTTTTCTCCATTGGGTTCAGTTGTTATGAAAACAAGCAGGCCCGCCCTTCGCTTCGCTGCGCCGGCAACTCCGTTCGGCAGGGGCCGGGCCTGCTTGGCCTGCCGGCGGCGATGGTCGGGCCTGCGGCCCGACCATTTCTGTCACGCGATTTGCTGTAGAACATAATCAAATGATGTAACGGGCCTTCGGCCCGCAAAGCCCGTCGTCCTTAAAATTTGCTCCGTAGACACGAGAAAGGGATGTAACGGTGAAACACCGTGACTACAACCCACCCTTCTGCTTAGAAAACGTTTTTTGGGCTGGGGGACGGAGTTTCTTACCTCTTTTGCGGTTCTGGGCCTTCTTTTACATTTAATTGTTCACTACAGCAATTTTTAACTTATTTACGTCAAACAAGACCCTCTAGCGCCTAAACGGTTAGAGATAGAGCCAAACGGACGAAATTTTCGCCCAAAGGGCTTTACTTTGACAAGTTACCTCTCTGGAGACCATTCAATATTTTCGGAAATTAATAAAAAAAAATTGGGCCACTTTTGTGAGAGAAATTTCCTCTAGCGCTCAAACGGTTAAAGATAGAGCAAAACGGACGAAATTTTCGCCCACAGGGCTCTCCTTTCTCAAGCTACCCTATAGGACACCATCTAATATTTTCTAAAACTAATTTGTTTATTTTTGGGCCACTTTCGTGATAGAAACTCCCTGTAGCGCCTAAACGGTGAGAGATAGAGCAAAACGGACGACATTTTTGCCCATAGGGCTCTACTTTGACGAGTTACCCCTTAGGAGCTCATAAAAAAATATTTTTTTCTGACTTTTTTTACCTACCCCCTTTTTTTTGATACCCCCTTTCAGCCCCTTCGGGTTGGTTGCCAGGATGTGCCGTAGGCGTTTCGTTTTCTAGGAGCGAACCTTAAGGGGGCAGACCTGTGAAATACAAGGGTTTGGGAGATATTTTATTTTTAAAAAACTACGAATCGCAGCAATATAAACGAAAGACCCTTTTCATAAGAATGAATTGGGCTACAGTTTTGCGTATGCACATATAGTGCCCACCTCCGGGAACCCGGTCTTCTTGGCCTCGAAGTGGACGGTTGCACCTCGACGTGGCGTGCACGATTTGGACCGAACAGATGGACCTGCGACAGCGACAAAAAATGTTATTTACTCTTAGAAGATGCGGCTATCGCATGACGAGAGCGATTTTGAAATTTTTAATTTTTAATATTTTTTTAAAAATGTCAAAGTTTTGGTAAAAAAAATTGGTTCAAAATTTGAACACATTTTGCCCATTTTCGATACCTTAGAAGTGAAATGTCGAAAAACGCTCTCGTCACGCGATAGCCGCATCTCTTAAGAGTAAATGACTATTTTTGTCATTGTCGCAGGTCCATTCGTTCGGTCAAAATCGTGCACGCCACGTCGTGGTGCAACCGTCCACTTCGAGGCCAAGAAGACCGGGTTCCCAGAGGTGTGCACTGTTTGTGCATACGCTTACTTGTAGCCCAATTAGTTCTTATGAAAAGGGTCTTTCGTTTATAACGCTGCGATTCGTAGTTTTTTTAAAATAAAATATCTTCCAAACTCCTGTCGACCCTCTCGTATTTCACAGGTCTGCCCCCTTAAGATACCCTGAAAATTTCAAGTCTCTAGCACATCTCCTTCTAGTGGAACAGACACACAGACAGACAGACAGACACACAGACACGAGGTCGTTTGCATAAGCCCGCTGAAAAATTGTGTCAAAATAGTTTAGATGAAGTCATATCATGAACCTGTACATCTGATATGTATGACATTAGTATCCAACGCTTTGTACCTTAATGAATTGATGCACTTCTTCCCTTGTTGATAATGTTTCAGATGGCTAATGCAAGGGAGAGATACCTTGCCGAATTAAAGGCACTACATAGGGCCAACAAAATTGCAAGGCGTAACATTAGGGACGCCAAAGACCCTTTCAGAAATCCTCCTGCCCAGTTCAGGAAGCTTTACAGGATGTCGGCTCAGATGGTGCTGGATTTAGTTGAAATCTTGCGCCCACATTTGCCTGAGACCACAAGCTCTCTGGCCATTCCTGTTGAACGCAAGGTGAGGTTTTGGATCACTTTTATCATTTGGAATACATATTACTGTAAAACTCGAATCATGCTCCTCACAGGTATTAGCTGCAATTTACTTCTTTGCTCATGGCTGCTACCATCAAAGTGTAGGTCAAAATGTGGATTTTCCTATGGGAAGAACAACAGCTCAAGACTGCATTCATATGGTGACAGGTGCCCTCAACAACAGAGATGTTGTGCGCCGATTTATCAAGTTCCCTCGTACTAAGGAGGAGCTGAACTTGACCATTCGAAGGTAATTAAATTCATACTGACTCCTGTTGTAGAAATTTGATTGTCAATTTTCACTAATTAAAATTACCATTCCTTCCCAGAAATCAAGAGCTTCGGGTTAAGATACCTAACACTGTTGGCTATGTGGATGGCACACTGGTGCAAATCATGAAGCCAGGCGTTGACTACAACGTTGATGCATACATTAGACGCAAGTCTACCCCATGCCTTAATGTGCAAGTAAGTGGTGAGTTTATTCTTTTGTGATGTCCTCAATGACTAGCTTGTGATTACTCAAAAGACACATCAATAATTTTGCTGTCCTGTTGTAGGTGTGTGACAAACGCATGTTCGTCATGAACGTTCTTCCCAGGCATCCCGGTTCAGCACCAGACTCTTATGTTTTCAGGCATTCTGCTCTACGGGAGAGAATGAAAAGGCTACACACAATCAGGCCCTGTCATCTCCTTGGTTTGTGTCACCTGCAATTTAGTTAGGAACTACACATTCTCTTTTTCCTACAGAAGCAACTGAGCAACTTTTCATTTCTGTTATTTTTTCAGGAGATTCAGGCTACCCTGAAGAGCCATGGCTCACAACACCTTTTCATGGGAATGCTACTCCCATCGAACGTAGTCCACAAGAGCACTACAACTACTGCCATTGTTCTGACCGCAATGTTGTGGAGAGATCCATTGGCCTAATGAAAGAGCGTTGGAGGTGAGCAAACCATACAATTTTGTCCTTGTACAGTATAATTAAGGCTATTGTAAAGTGAAGAAGCTAACTCTTAGACCAAACTAACAAGTTAAACATGGATATTTTTGACATAACATACTTTCAAGCATAGAAAAAGTTGAAAAATGTTAAGTGGTTTCTGAGAATTACCCAAGTGTGTCTCTTTTATCTAATCTTCCAAGAACTCCACACGAAGATTACAGTTTGCTTGAAGATAGCAATTTTCACGTTACAATAGCCTTTGGCATTAAAAAAAGTGGTGTTGTCTGACATTTTGATTTCTTTTCAAGAGTCATCAATAATCATCGAATCCTACGTTACTTCCCTGACAGGGTGAGGCACTTATGTGTTGCAGTTTGCATTCTGCACAACATTTGTATCTTGGCGAACCACCACACTTACGTTCAAAACCATGAAAGGATGGTCAACAGATTCTTTAATCCTCGAGTGGTAAATGTGCAGAATGAGGCTGGTGTACACAGGGCAGGTGAGCTGGTTCGTGAGGCAATTGTTGAACACTTACAGAGGAGGTAAACCCTTTTTGCTTGTTTGTTTTTGATTCTTAGAATAAGGCCATACTGTAAATACTTTTATTCTATTTCCTTTCTGTTGTTATGTTGTCTAATATATTCCAATGTGATACATTTGAATACTGTACTGTAAATACTTACCTTGTGATTATAATCCTGTGATCTCTGTCATATTCATTCTGTTATTTCTTTGTTTTTAAAATAACAGAAATATCACCAAATGTTAGTGAGATAGCTCTGCTTTATCTGCTTTTACTAGCACAATGAATTTAAATTTGCAACTGATATGAGAGTCATATTCTATTCTTGTAACGTTATTTAGTTCAATTTTGTTTACCTTGTGATTAATATGCTGTGATTTTTGTCATATTCATTCTGTTATTTCCTTGTTTTTAACATAACAGATATATCACTTAATTGGACTATTGTTCAACGTTTAGAAAAGGACTGTTTGCCTATTTGAAATATAGTACATACAGTAGTATATTTTGTCTCAGCTAATGCTGTGTTGGCTGCCACGGTTTTGTTATTTATTGGATGTATCATTTATCTTTCATGGGAATCAGCCAATGAGAAGCGATATTGTAAATACTGATGAACTTTGTGTAAAGTAACATGTGTACTGTAGCTAATTAGGCATTTAGATGAACTGCTTTTACATGCATCTTGCAGCCACCAAATGTGAGTGTGATAGCTCTGCTTTATCTGCCTTTACTATAGCATAATGAGTTAAAATATACAACTGACATGAGAGGCCATATTCTATTTTTTAATGTTAAGTAGTGCAATTTTTTTTTTACCTTGTGATTAAAATGTTATGATTCCTGTTCTGTTCATTCCGTTTATTTCTTTGTTTTCAATAAACAAAAATATCTCTTAATTGGACTATTGTTCAATGTTTAGAAAGGGACTGCTTCCCTAGTTGAAATATAGTATCAGTATATTTTGTCCCAGCTAATGCAGTGTGGACTGCCATGGTTTGCTAGTTATTAGATATCTTTCAAAGGGAATCAGCCAATGAGAAGCCATATTGTAAATACATGTGTACTGTAGCTAATGAGGCATTTAGATGAACTGCTTCTACATGTATCTTGCAGGAGTGAGATGGCTCTGCTTTATCTGATTTTACTAGCACAATGAATTAAAATATACAACTGATAATGAATGCATTTCTTTTACTTCATTTACCATTGAACATGCAATCAAGATATAAAGGGTATAAATGAACATTTGGAAATGACTACTATACTCTGACAGTAATGAAAGAACAATATTAAATATAAATAACATATGAAAATAAATACAAAAGAGTGAGGAATAGAAAGGATATGACTGAACTTTTAAAATAATCCTGTAGATGTAACTTAAAAGTCCAATACTGAACATGCAATCAAAATACCCTATAAAGGATATAAATGGACACTTGTGAAAAAGTACTATTACTTTGACAGTAACTAAGAAACAATACTAATAAATTAGCATTTGGGAATAACTACTATACTCTGACAGTAAAAAAAGAACAATATTAAATAAGACATGAAAATAATCCTGTAGATGTAACTTAAGAATAGAGGAACTTTTCATCTAATATCAAAGGATCACAGTCTGGCTACAAAAATTCTTGAGCAATACAATTATTTGAACTAGCTAAGACTTAGAAGAATAAAATTGAAATACATAAATAGATACAGAAAATTAGTCTGTAGAAGAAACTGATTCTTGAAGTTGCTTAAGGGCTACTAACAGTTTTTCTAGAAGTTTTAATATAATGTGGACTGTCTCAGACTCACTTGGTAAGGACCTGGCAATCACCAGCAGCTCATTGAAGTTCATTGAAACGTCACTACTTGCACTGCCTTCAATGCGTGACAGCTGAGCCCCAACAAAGTTTGGACGTTCTTTCACTCGCGAGTTTAACGGAGTAGAAATCAATTTCAACCCACCAGGGCAAGCAGCAGTTGTAGGGGGGCGATTTCTGGACACAGTAGATGTAGGCGTGTGGTTCACTGACGCAGCAGTTGCAGGTTGGCCATTCACCGCAGTGCAAGATACCTCAGTACAATTTCGTAAATCTGTCAGACAAAAAGAACAATATTAAGCTTGAAGGAAAGCAGCAATTTAACAGAAAACAAATAATAACCAAAAATCAAACCTATAGTGTCAGAGTTGACAGAGAGGATGCTTTCATTAGCACTATCACACAGGGCTTTAGCTTTATTTTTACGCCTAATAACCGGAGAACTGATGGTTTCACTATCAGGTTCCGATGAAGGTGTGTAAGTAGGATCATCGTTAAACTTGGATCTCCTAGGGTCAGCTAAAAGTGGAAGAGTGAAGTATGAAATGGAGATAGACGTTTGGGAAAAATATTACATGAGATAAAACATGATGAAAAAGATATGAACCTTGAAAGACACTCTCTCTCCAATTTTCAGATTTACTACTTTTCCTTGTGCTGAGAGATTGGGAAGCTGAGGCGGAGGAGTCCACACCAACAGCATAAGATGGACCTTTTCCTTCTGCATGAGATGGAGCACCTAGGGCAGAAGAGGTAACACCAACAGGATAAGCACAACAGCAGTCAGAAGAGGAGTCAGCTTGTTTATGAAAGGTGTTTCAACACAGCGTTTGAGAAGCACAAACAAACCTACCTGGCCTATCTCTAACTGACACAGATGACTTTTGTGTCAATGAAGAAGGAGCATGTCTCCTCGGTTGAAGAAGAGATGTATCAGGAGATTTCTCAGACGGAGCTCTTCCC